ACAAAGCCTCAGAACAGCAGGATATAGATGATGTTCAGGAATGACTGCCTAAATTACACAATATGTTATCTTTTGCCTGCCTGGCATGTATTTTGCCTAATTCTTCTGGGAAAGCTTTATTTGTATGAGCTATATTACTGTTAGCATTTTAGATCATATCCGTGGTGTAGCCATAAATTATGAAATACTTTGGTGCAGTATGTGGCCCCTTTGATTTATATACGTTTATGCATTTGGAAGACACTTTTATCCTATTTATCACATTTTGTCCACTTTGTTTTCATTTGTTTTCATTCATTTCATAACGGTAAGTTCCCCTACTATATACGGTGAAAAACGGCAATGGATATTTCATATAATTTTATGGTTAAATACAGTTTTTGGAAGTGAAATAGAATGTAAAATTTACAGTGAGAAACCATAAATTGACGTTCCCAGAATTCCCTGCGTTACATTTCAAATTTGATGTTGTTTCTTTGAAATAACTATGTTTCTTCTTAGGTTTTTTTCTTATCAGTTATGTTTATTAGGGTTGTATGTTACATCTAATGTTGTCAAATTAATATTTATTGCATGACTTCAGTATAGTGTGTTACCATGATTGTGTTTAGTGTTTGAATGAATAACACTGTGCACCTTCAATGTATATATTAGTGTTTTCTTTCTCAACTTGCACTGTAAAAAATGACTGTGAATTTAACGGTAAAAGACTGTAAAAATGCTACAGTAAAAACCTGTTAAATGGTTAACGGTAAATTCCCCTACTATATACGGTGAAAAACTGTATTGGACATTACATGTATTGAACATTAATTTTATGGTAGTATACCGTTTTTGGAAGTGAAAAAGACCGTATAATTTACAGTGAATAACCGTAAATTGACATTCCCAGAATTTCCTGCGTTACATTTCAAATTTGATGTTTTTTTTGTTGAAATAACTGTTTCTTCTTAGTTTTTTCTTATCAGTTTTGTAGATTAGGGTTGTGTGCTACACCTAATGTTGTTAAATGAATGTTTATTGCATTATTTCAGTGTCATGTGTGTTACCGTGATGGTGTTTAGTGTTTGTGTGAATAACACTGTGTGCACCTTCTATATATGTTATTATTTAAAAGCTGCTTATGATGGGCTTTGGTTCATCATGTGACTTTCTCATCACCACATGTTTTTGATGGTTATCAGTGTATTACCAAAGTACTAAACAGATTTCAGTACTTCAATAGGTTGGAATAACATTATATGGGTTTTAATGGTAAACTTAAGTTAAATCCGTAAACCCTAAAATTTTGTTACCATATTTTTTTACTGTAAAATTCGGGCAACCACAGCTGCCAGTTTTTTACTGTAAATTGTACTTTTTTTTCCTTTTTTTTTTTTACAGTGTTGGCTTACTGTTTGAGCTACAAGGATATTACTGGTCCTAAGCAAGTTCTACAGGGAGTACTTGTAAAGTACTCTTGGAAAGATTTCTGTTTTGTTTGTTAAACCTGTAAAACAGAAATCATGATTTCAGGGTTGTTAAATTCATTATTATATAACAATTTTCAAAGAATCTGACACACTTCTCTCTTCTTCACAACAATACAACTTCAAATACAATTGGCTCCAGGCCCAGAACAATCAAAACTTGTAAAAGACTAATAAGTAAGAACTTGGGTCTGTTTTTCACCCAGATTATTGATTACTTGTAAAAGTGCTAAATGCTAAGAGACATCCAGTATAATATGAGTTGAAAAGAAAACTTTTCTGGTTTAGGAGTCAATAATGATGCTTTAGGGGTCCATACAATGAAAAAGATAGGGAAACACTGAATTCTATTTTGCAGTGTACTCTGTTCCTTTGCCAGTATTTCACAATTTTGCTTACTTTACTGAACATAGTGTTTTTAAATGTTTTATTAAAATTACATTTACTTACATATTGTCAGTCAGGGCAATGATTCAACATTGATGTCTCATTGTTAAAGTGTGTGCACTTATATAAATAGAAGTGGATATGATCCACTGCATAGACCAAATCAGTTTACTTTAACAAATTACTGAATAGATGCAAACTTCAAAACTAGCATGACCCAGTGAGAACTACGGTGCAAACCAAATTACATTTTATTGTATTTTATTTTATAAATACATAACATTTTATTATGTTTTATAATATTGTCAGCACACATTTAATATTTTATGCTTGGCTTATGTAGATTATTTTAAATCTACACTTATTTACTAGTAGCTAGAAGAGTAAGAAATATAGTAACGGGTATTTGAAGAGAATGGGGGAAAAACACCGGAAAACCTCTGCCTCATATGTATGCAGAAACATGGAGTGTGTTCACAAATCTATTCCTGTCACCTGGAACAGAACCAATCTTACTGCAACTCTCTCTTGTTCCCGACCTCAAGCAGTGCAGAAAATGTCAGTGGTTGTGGGCAACAACTTTTCAACCATGTTATTTGGATTTATTCTTTTCCAACAGCCTATTAACAGTATTCCTTACATGAGTTTTCCTGTTAGAACTTCTCCTCATATTTCATTTTGTTCATTGTTACAAGTGCCTTGTGTTGCATCAGCAGACATTTTTTGCATTATTATTGTCATAAGCACTATCCCCTAAAACTCTAAAATGTTCTATATTAAACAGTAATGAGATTTAGACTTTGACTTTACAGTAATTTAAAGAAAATGAACTTAATAGTCTTAAAATAGGCTTTTTTTAACCAAGACATGTTGACAGATTTCATGAGATTCTTCCAACACTTGAGCAAGAAACCCGCCATTCCTATAGACTATTAATGATATTTACTGAACATTTATTGTCATTCATACCTTTAGTAGGGCAGCAGAGCCAGGATGGGTGAGCGGAGTTTAAGCGGAGGAGGGGTATTCCTCGCCATCTGTTAAGAGATGTGACCTACTGGCACTCTCACACAACTGGAGCACCACTGTCTGTCTCTCTCTTCCTCTCTCTCATTCTATCCTCCCCCTCCTTAATCCGATGTTTGTGTCCACCGGGCACCACCAAAAATCCCAGCCACACAGTCTCACTGAATCATGTGGCCATGGTAGCTGGTCTCAGCTGGTGTATGTGATGCTTCATTTTGCTATTGGGGAATAGGTGCAGGTGGACTTAAAGCACAGATGGGAGTCAAGCACAATTTTTCTCTCGGGTTGTGTTTAATGTGGGATGTGCTGCTAAGAGTGGGATGCTTGTGGCAGGACATGAGTGGGTGGAATTGAGGGATGAGGATTTAGGATGCTGGTGGTTGTCTGGCATTGGGGAATAAAGATGGTCTGGTGTTATTTTTATTTCATTACATAACAGGAAATGGCATTCACAGTACATTTAACTTCTGTAATGTGACTTATTTCTGAGTGAAACAGGATATTCAAGGGAAAAAAGTATAGGGCAGGACTTGATTTTATACACTGGATTCTTAAAAGTAGTCTCTATATGACAGGTGGCTAAAAAAAAAGGTCTTGGTGACGTCAACCAAACAGGAAATTATTTTCATAAAAAAACACAGCACACACAAATATGGTGCAAACTATCATTTGTCAATACATTTCAGGGTTTAATTAATTAAAAGTATATTTATAATGTCTAAAAATTCTATTTGGGTTTGTCTGCCATCTTTTAGACTAAGCTTCTCACAGTACATTCTGGTGTTACCTTCTCTTTGGAGGACAATTGCAATGTTTGGCCAAAAGAAGATACCCAAGAACACTGCAATACAAAAGTAAAATGGATATTTACATGCTGTGTATCATAGCATGGTCACCTAAAGCATTTCACATTAACAGTATAAATTTAAAACATGCATGTGTGTTCAGGCCAGGTTAAGTTGGCGCCTGCACCCACATTAAAAAAGATTATATAAAACTAGCAGTAAAGCCTCAAGAGCTGCTGTGAAGTGGGCACACCTGCTCTGCCCACACAGCTTTGCTTTCAATAGAGAGCCACTTCAATAGCATAGTCAGTGCATTAGTCTGTATGTAAAATTATGTTTACAATCAAACGGCATGCAACACTTAAAATGTCAGTAAACAGCAAGAGAAAAGTATTTGAATCCAGTCAATGTTCTGGAAGATTTATCAGCCATGCAGAAAATTACTAAAAGAACTGTTGTGGATTTGTAAATTCTTGGTTATAAAATTTGGAGCTTTACAGGAAAGTATAACGTTGCTCCGAAACAGTAATGGCTAAAAAGGTGCCAGTTGTTGCCTCAGCAATGTCATATAGACTTGCGCTCTTTACATGGCCACAAACATAATAATTATTAGCCCAGTGAAAGCTTCCCTGATTTGAAACCCATATCAATAAGGATTCAATTGTGTAACTTGTGTAATCGTCTGCATGTACCATTTGTGGTACAGACATGAATGATATCTCAAATTCTGCAGCTTGTTGAGTATGTGTGCCATTACTTTTCGAAGTGATCAGACAATAACAAAAAGAGCAAAAAAAAAATCATTGAGGGGAGTGTACTGAGGTTTTGTAGGGGGACCCAGTCATGAAAACACGGGAAACCATAGAAAAATTAGCAGACAAAATCATTGTTAGAACTAAAGGAGAGTAAATGTAAATGTAAGCTCTTATTCAGAAAATGTAGAAAATTAGTTCTTTAAGACTAACAAGCTTATTCAGGAGAGCATTAAATGAAGGTGGTGAACTGGTTAATATTATTGATATTTATTTCTTAATATTATGCAGAACAATCTGTGTATAATCACAAGCAATGCAATCCTTATTCCGGGTTTGGTTCGAGGACTGATTCTGAATCAAAGTCAGATACTTGTTGAGAGCTGAATCTGGAATCTGGAAAGTGTATCTGGCTGTTGTGTAATATATTCTCCTATTGAATCTATTATTCAAAAGATTGAAGTGAATCAATAAGCAGTGGAGTATTTACATGTTCTGAAAAGGGAATGAAAACATGTTTACTTTATTACATGAATGAAAAGCTTTCTGAAGCAAAGATGTGGTTATGATCAAATTTTCAGGTGTTCACAACCTATTGTAATGAGGACTATGACAGGAGGAATGATGACGTGGACCCCATGGCTGCCTCTGCTGAATATGAGCTGGAGAAACGTGTGGAAAGGCTGGACCTGTTCCCCGTTGAACTGGAGAAAGGTATTCGCGGAGAGGGGATTGAAATGATTGATGCACTGAAGAGTCAATAAATGGCGGGGTGTATTGACGGATGATGGATGAAAATATTAGAGTTTGACAGTATGGATGGATGGATGGATAAATGGTTGAAAGAACAGCCAACCTCCAACTAGCAATTCATCATGTTTTTTTTTTTTTTTGTCATTTACATAGGTCAAATTTCAAGTTAAATTTTTGCACACATAATTGACACTGCATGAAGGGAACACTACTCGTGGGCTCATTTAAATTGAAATAAAGCTACTGAATCCCTTCACAAACATGCTAACCACAAGGCTGTTAGCAAAGTGTAAATACAGTGGTCATGTTAAGGAAGTAACTGTGGCAATAATAAACACATGATGCTAGATGATTTAAAGCGTATGTAACAATTAAAAATAATAAAGTAGTGTATAGATTTGTGTAGGGTGTTTCAATACAGTAATACCCTGCACCATTCTGACTACTCATTTCAAATGCTTTACCACTTGGAGTGAGTACACTCTTAAAAATAAAGGTGCTTCAAAAGGTTCTTCAAGCGATGCCATAGAAGAACCATTTTGGGTTCCACAAAGAACCATTCAGTCAAAAGTTCTTTAAAGATCCATCTCTTTCTTACCTTTTTGTAATCTGAAGAACCTTCTTTCACCACAAATAACCTTTTGTGAAACAGAAAGGTTCTTCAGATATTAAAGGTTCTTTATGGAACCATTTAGACAAAAAGGTTCTTCTATGGCATCGTGAAGCACCTTTATTTTTAAGAGTGTAGGGCATAGTGAAGCTCACTTTTGAATAGAAAGAACACCAGGTGGACATATTCACCTGAATGGTAGGCTGTTTCTTTTTTAAACACTGTTAAACTGATGAAGGCGACATTATGTAGATGGAAAGATAAAGACTCCAGTATTAAATTTATTAAAAGAACTAAATGATCATATACTACAGAGCACTTATAGAGGCCACTGTTGATTTAACCTTAGTTTACATGGTGTCTTAATAAATGTGCTTCAATTAAAATGTAATCGCAATATTTTATGTAGTGTTGTAGTAATAATAAAAACGTTTTATAAAAACAGTAAGCCTTACTGTATCGTGAATATACTTCACTGCATTTTGTGATTAACAACACCCTTTAGCAGCAACTATATTCACAATATAGCAAATAAAAGTGTGTTAGAGAGTAAATGAAGGAAAAAGTAGGAGAGCGAAAGAGGGGTATTTAAAGAGTAACACTCAACAGGGAAAATGTCAAAGAGGAAATGAAGATGTTTCACAGTACTTCTGTTCTTGTCTGAATCATGTTTCGCAAGTAGTGAGAGTATTCTGTGCAAAAAAAATAAAATGCAATGTAGTGTAATAATAGTTCTGTTGTAAAGCAGTTCTAAAAAGAGGATAACAGTAAATGACAGTGAATAGTATATAAAGTAGACAGCACACTTTTCAAGCAAACCTCTTTCACAAAAACTACTTTGATTATTGAAAATTAAAATGATAAAACAATATGTAGTTCTAAGGACAGAAAGAGTGTTGTGGCACTTTAGGGCTTTTCACACTTAAGAGTTAACTCTGGGTCTTTCTAAACCCCAGGTAAAAGGAATCCTGGGTTATCTTGTTTCACGGTTCACACTGCTCCTAGATTAACTGTAATGGTTTACAATTAATTCTGTGTATTCATAAGATGATGTTTCACACTGAACATTCCATAACCCCATAATTCCATAAAATAAAAATGTGCTTTAGATAAATGATGATCCGGTGTTAAGTGCAGTCTAAAAAGCCCTTTTGTGGTTCTAAAAGTTCAGTAGAGCATGTTCATACTGTGATGAACAGAACTTGTACATTAAATTCTCTGGATTGAGTTCTCCATTTTTTGTTGTCCATCAACAGACAATGAGGGTTTGGGTATCAGTATTATTGGGATGGGTGCTGGAGCTGACATGGGTCTGGAGAAGCTTGGCATTTTCGTCAAGACCGTCACAGAGGGAGGGGCGGCCCATCGGGATGGCAGGTAGATGTTATGCATACTCCACAGCATCAAAGTTATTTTTTAACTTGATTACCTGAACTCATTTCACACTGGTCACACTGCTCACTTTTTTCTCTTTCAGGATCCAGGTGAATGATTTGATAGTGGAGGTGGATGGAACAAGCCTGGTTGGTGTAACGCAAAGTTTTGCTGCCTCTGTCCTGAGAAACACATCTGGCACGGTTCGGTAAGACCATGTGGATTTAGACCAGTGTGGTACAAAAGTCATCTCCTTGCTTATATCTAATTTCATTGACGTCCCATTTTTCAGTTTGTTTTATCTACAGATAAGTAAAACTGAAGTTGACTTTTTGCTCTAGGCATAAGTAATGGTGAATTAATGCCTGCAATTCATGTCAGAAATTATCGTATTTATGAGTGAAGCACACATGAGCATCATCACAATGTTTTAATAAATGTCAATATGGAACAGCTAGAAATTGAGGCTGTAAATTAAAAATCATGCCAGAAACTATTTGGGTATTTGTCACAATTAAGTTTTAATTGTAAATGTTTACTCTATAATTAGTATGTATTGAGAATAACAGTAGAATTTGTTCATCAGACAGCAGATTTGTGTGACAAAACTGCATTTTCCTTGATTAACATAGCAGTTCAAGAATGATTAAATACATAGATAGAGCATCTCTTACTTACCTAATTTGTATCCTTTGCTTTTGGCACATTAGCCCTAAAGCAGCTTCCTTTTTATGATTTTGCCCCATTTATACTTTGTTCCTTAACCAAATTCCCTTGGACATATTACATCTTAATTACAACTTCTGAAATCATAAGTAGGAACTTCCCAGAAGGAACTGAAGGCAGCAATAAATACAAAGTAATTAGAGACTGTACTTTTGGCTCCATGACAGCTGCTTGATTTTTTTTTTTACAACATTTTGCTTCTTTATTTCGAACTCTCTTACTTTATATCCCCACCCCGGAACTCGATCGCGAATGGCCCGAGGGGGGCCCCGCTCCCTAACTCGCACCGGGCCCCGCGTCAGCTAAGGACAGCCCTGGATACAATATTTTCCCTAATTTAAAACTTACTCAAATATATGGTCTTTAAGTATTTGAGTTCATTAACTTTATCTTTGTCATTGTCTTTCCCTACTTATTTTCGTAGTTCATTCAGTATTCAGCCGATGGGGGTCATTGTGACAGTTGCAATTATGATGTGTTACAAAGACTGTATTTAGAAGAGAAAAATGTTTTCATTATGATAGATCAGTGTTAACAGGGCGAGAACAAGGAGAGGGTTATATGAAACCAGACACTGGGTGGAGGAGACGTGCACAACATAGCAAAGAATAGTCAGGAAATTTATGATGGATAAATATAAAGCAGGGGAGACAGACCAGCCAAGATAGATCTGTAAGAGCTTTATCAAAAGTAAACAACAGTATAAATCTGGTTTTCATTGTTCATCATTATAAATATTGTCTTCTCATATTTTTTGACTGACCTTACAAGAAGATGTTTGTAAGATATCTTTCAAAAAGCACAAAAATAGCATTTATATTTACATTTACATTTAGTCATTTAGCAGATGAGGACAATAAAAGCAGTCAAAACTAACAAAAAGAGCAACAACATATAAGTGCAAATGAAAAGTCTCGGTTAGCCTAACGCAGTACATGTAGCAAGGTGTATATATATATATATATATATATATATATATATATATATATATATACACCTTGCTA